GAGCAGTCTTGTGGGTGCTGGAGATTGCACCTAGGTCCTCTGTAAGAGCAGCAAGTGCTCTTAACTGCTGAGCTATCTCTATCTTCTTTTTTTGAAATAGATTCTATCTCAGAATACCCACTCTGTGGCCAAAGGTGACTTTGAACTGATTCTTCTGTCTCTGTTTCCTCTCGCTAGGATTACAGATGTACACCACCATGCCCAGTTAATTCTGTGCACAGGATCAAACCTAGGACTTCATGCTAGGCAAGCACCCTCCTCCCATCTGAGCTACATCCCCAGTGAAATGTTTGTTTTGTTTTTTAGCAGGACAAAGGGATTTAACCATCAAGTGAAGGAGCTAGTGACCTCAAACTAATCTTTGAGGTATTAACATAGGCTTTGGTTTCAACAGAGGGTAAGAGGTGTTTGTAATTAAGCAGCCATGGACAAGGTTAGGTATAGTTAGTCATTGTCTTCATTCTGGTTCTCCAGAGTGGTATGAAATTGTCTCGGCCGTTACTTCCTCTCCAGAGTGCCCTCCCACCTGCACAGATAATTAATTACCTTCATCTGGAGAATAGCTTGTCCTAAGAGACTCTAGCAATAAAAGGTGACTGCAGGTTTAGGATAATGAGATGGTCAGATGGAGATAGTCCTCAGTGATTAGCATGCCTTCAAAAGCCAAGCCAGGAGTCTAACACAAAGTAAAGGAGACCGACACAAAGTGGAGGCAGAAATGCCAGGCTTTCGTCCCAAGTGTAGAATATGAGCTTCTTAGCAAAACAAGCCCCTAAATGCCCGTTATACTACTGTATCTTGGTAAAAGGTTTTCTGTCCCCTGCCAGTCCCACAGCCAATTATACAATAATCACCTAGAGGCTTAATATTAATTATAACTGCTCAGCCAATGGCTCAGACTTAATACTGGCTAGCTCTTACATTTAAATTAACCAATTTCTATTAATCTGTGTATTACCACGTGGCCCATGGCTTACCATAGATGTTCTGGCATCATGTTCTTTTGGCGGCTGCTGGGGTCTCTCGACCCTGCCCTCTTTTCCCCTGTACCTCTTCTTGGATTTCCCACCTAGCTACATTCTGCCCCGCCTTACGCCAAAGCAGCTTTATTCATCAACCAATAAAAGCAACACAAATTCAGTGTACAGAAGGACATCCCACATCAGATATCACATAGCCAAGAAGCATGAAAGAGACAGATAAGGTCTCACTATGTAACCCTGGCTGGCCAAGAACTTGGTATGTGGACCAGGGTGGCCTCAAACTCAGAGATCTGCTTGTCCTTGCCCTCTAAGAGATGGGATTAAAGGCATGGGACACCCAAGCAAATGTTAAAGAAAATTTCAGTTCCTACTGCTCCTGAGGAGAAGCCAGCCCCCCTCCCCTGCTGCTAATTTCAAGGTTTTCAGTAATTTTGTTTCATCAGCTTGATTGCATTTTTCCTGTTTTGAAGTTTGCTATGGTTTTGGAAATAAAACCAAAACTTTTCATCGTCCCCTTGAGGGAATGTTTGGTCATTGATTCTTTTAGCCTTTTTTTTTTTTTTTTTTTTTAAATCCCAATGTGAATCTCATGAATCTCTTCTAAACCTGATAGATGGCGTATGGTTTCCTATCATCCCAAGCTCAGGAGCCACTGTTGTCTTCCATTGTTTTTCCCTCTGTACTCCAGCTGTGTGTAAGTTGCACAGGAATGCCCAGGCCAATGTACCCTGCCTGTGGGTAAGATGGAATGCCTGGGCTTGTAGGATCCCCTCTCTTACTGAATGCTGCCACCAGAGGTGTGTCTGTCATCACGGAGGAGGAGAGGGTAGACAGCAAGGCGGGCCAAGTGTCTCAGATGCCCCCTCCATGGGGCCTTCTGTGCATTGAGGTTAAGCTGCCTGTTTCTACATCTCAGGTGATATGGGAAGTCTTTCTGTAAGCTGCAAATATGCGTTGCTTTTATTGGTTGCTGAATAAAGCTGCTTTGGCCTATGGCAGGAAATCCAAACAGACTCAGATTTTAAAAGTAGCTAGAGAGAGAAAGATGCCATGTGACAGAGTTGGGTGGAGGAGTTTTTTATTGTGGGAAATTGAATGGGGAAAGAGGGAAAGGGGACACCAGCCTCTGGGGACTAGGGACGGAAGGGGAGAAAAGAAGAGAGAGATGGGGGGTGGGGGAGACAGAGAGGCGGAGAGGAAAGGAGAGAGAGAGAGAGCTGGGAGAGCTGGCAGGGCCCATTTAAAAGGGAGCATAATGAATGTGCACAGGTGGTGCTGTTAGTGGCTACAGCTGAGGGCAAATCCTGTCAGAACCCCAAGGACAGGCCAGTACTGAATACTAACACAGGGAGAAAAAGGGCAGAGTTAGAGATGCCAGCAGCGGCTGGGGAAGCAAGATGTGGAGTAACAAGCCAGGAGCCTTGTGGTAAAATATAGAATAGTAGAAATGGGTTAATTTAAGTTGTAACAGCTAGTTAATAATAAATCTGAAATAGTAGACCAAACAGTTTGTAATTAATATTAAGCCTCAGTGTGGGTTATTCAGGAACTGGTGAGTGGTGGGTGGGAGAGAAACCTCCGGTTATACTCAGGCTTAATGGAAAAAGGAAGAAACAGGGACAAAATGTCCTTAGAAACACATGAGCTTAGAAAGTGGTGACTCCACTCACCCTGGGAAGCCTGGCCCTTCATACACAGTACTTGATGGGGGCAGCACGAAGGAAGGGTCACCAAGGCTCTTCATGCTTGGTTCCCCTGCTCTGCTTCCTCTGGGGTCAGATGACTTTTTTCCCCTTTCGAGGGTTTAGAGTCAAGTGCCAGTAGGAAGAAACGCAGTGGCCAGAAGGGAAACAGCACGCGTGTGGAGCACTTGGAGTCCAGATACATATCACCTGCACCTTCTTAGTCTCAGTGTCCTCAGAAGTTTACAAAGCTAGCCGGGCAGTGGTGGTGGCGCTCACCTTTAATCCCAGCACGCAGGAGGCAGAGGCAGGCGGATCTGTGAGTTCAAGGCTAGCCTGGTCTCCAGAGTGAGTTCCAGGCCAGCCAGAGCTGTTACACAGAGAAACCCTGTCTCAAAGCTGAGTGCAGCATTTAGCAGTAAGTGCTTACAGTAAAATTATGTACAGGCCACCTAGATATTCAAACAAAGAAACACTCTTTTAGAATAGAAGTTTGGAAGGACTCCCAAGACCAGGCATCTCACCCTGACTGGCCCTGATACTGCATGGGAGGGGCTGTTTCTGTCTTCATGGATCTTCTATTTTGACATGCGCCTGGGTTGCTAGGACACCAATATTACCCTCCATGATTGGTTTTTAAAAATTCTTATTTCCATTTTACATGTTGGGTGTATTGCAGTGCCTATGGAAATTACAATGTTAGACCCCCGGAAAACTCAGGTATCCAGGGCCCCAGGCCACGACCGTGGTCACCCCAATCACCAGTCGGATTCGAGAGCTTAATGCAAACTGCACGAGGCTTTATTGTAATTTAACGAGCTAAACCCATGTCAGCTCGGGTCTTTCACCCACCCACCATGGCGGATGGCTCGAAAAAGACAGCTCCTAGGGCCTCCCAAGAGATTGTATAGGGCAGCGTAAGGGGAGTGTCTAGGGGTACGCACAGGCTCAGGATTGGTGTGCCTCCAGGCTTGGAGGGCTTGCCCTGTGTTGATTGGCCAACTGGTTGATATGGCCCATAGGCCCTCCCAGGGTGGTTGCTATGCTTTGTGTCATTGCTGTGTGCTTGTCAGTAAAGTACACCCAGGGTCGTAAAGCATAGCGCCACCAGCTTACTTCTGATTGGTTCTTTGTCACGAGGCAGGCATCTGACTTTCTAGTGACTAAGACAGGGTCATAGAACACGTGTTCGGCCGTTATGGCTGCCAAAAGGGAAGCTGGTCCCTTCAACAAGAGGCATCAGATTCTCAAACTCTGGAGTTAGGGCCAACTGTGAGCTGCTAGTAGTCATACCCTAGGGGACTCTAGAAGAGCAGCCAGTGCTCTGAACTGCTGAACTATCTCTCCAGCCTGTGGTGACATCTTGCTTGTACAAATAAAGCCTGTCTGAAGGTCAGAGAATGGAGCTTGCCATTAGCTAACCGTAGAGGTCTGGAGGTCTGTAGAGACAGACAGGAAGTGAGCTAGCTAGGCAGAAACAGGGTATGAGCAGGGAGAAACAGGATATAAGCAGGAAAAAACAGGAACTCACTCTCTTGTTTGTTGAGACACAAAGGAGGTAAGGTGTGTGTCGTGACCTGGCATGTCTCAGCTCCAAGCCACGACAGGCATGAGGTTCTGCCTGAGTGGGGGAGCATGGGCTTGGAACCTCCTAGCAACCCAGCGGCTATAAAGACCAAACACAGGCATCTTCTGTCCTTCTCTCTGCTAGCTGGCCCCTCCCTTGTTACCTACACTCCTAGCACCTCCGCCCAGGTGCAGGCCTATTCAGATGCTTAGGCCCACAGAGATGCAAACTAGGAGGCATTCTATACTGAGGCCATGGTAAACAATAGTAGACCTGCTAGCATTAGCAATACAATAGTGAGCCGGAGCTTTCGGGTGCTCCTGTTTAGTGAACCCGGAGGCTGGACCTCAAAACATTCCATAACAGAATTATTTTGGTCCCCCACAGGTGTGATGGTGGTTTGTTCCTTGTCTCTGATCTCTCAGCATTTTCCTCTATGTCTGATCCCGGGTTTTTATTACAATTAGACCATTTAAGGACTCCATTTACACAAGCTCCTGTGGTTAGTTTTTATTTCCCACCTGTCAGTGAGCCTCTGCCCCACACACACACCACCACCATAGAAAGTCCTCATAGCCAGGAAGCCTGGGGGTCCCTCATCCCCTCTTGATGCACCCAGCACTGCTGGTTCACTCTCTAAATCCTCTGGCTTTTGTAACAGCAGTTGGGAGGCAGGTTCTCAACATCTTGTCCAGTGCTGTTGAGTTCATTGCTGTGTTCATCCTGTAAGTGTGGCCTCGAGGTCACCTCTCTTTTCTCTCCCTCCAGGTCGAGTCTCTTTCTTTACCTCAGGCTCTGAGAACCTGCACCGGGTGGAGAAGGTCCTGTGGGGCACCCGCTATGCCATCACCATCGCTTTCACCTGCAACCCTGACCATGGCATCGAGGACCCAGTACTCACGTAACGAAGCTAGGTTGGGTCCTGAGGACCATGTGTGGAAGCCTGTTGGTGGTGCTCCCGTGTGGGGACCCAGCCTCGTCAACAAAGGCACTGTGAGGCCAGGTCAAGTGTGTGCTCACTCTCCCCATTTCAGCCCATTGCTGCTGGACAGAGTGCCTTATGAATTAGCCTGAATTTGATTTGCTGATGTTTTAATCTTTTCATCTGTGAGTAAACCAAGGAAAGAGCCTCTCACCTGATAGCTCTGAGTGTGTGGGCTGCCCACCATGGCTGGCAGGCCTCATTCCTCAGGAGGGATCCCCCTGTAGGGAAGAAACACACATCTGTTAGTGGAGCTCCATATCTTGCCCCAGCTCACATAGCCCACTGAAGGTAGAGTAAGACCCTGGAAAAGCTGAGGCTTCCAGAATCTTAGCCCAGGACCGCGGCCACCCCAATCACAGAGTGGAGGCGAAAGCTTGATGCAAATTGCATGAGGCTTTATTGTAGTTTAGCGAGCTAACCCCATGTTAGTTCGGGTCTTTGATCCACTTGCCATGTCGGATAGCTAGCAAAGACAGTTCGAAGCCGCTGCATACAGATCTTTATAAGGCAGCGTAAGGGGAATGTCTAGGGGTATGCACAGGCTCAGGATTGGTGTGCCTCCAGGCTTGGAGCGTTTGCCCTGTGTTGATTGGTCAGCTGGTTGTTATGGCCCATAGGCCCTCCCAGTGTAGTTGCTATGCTCTCTGCGTCAGTGCTGTGCGCTTGTCTTTAAAGCACACCCAGAGCCATAAAGCATAGCGCCACCAGCTAACTTCTGATTGGTTCCTTGTCACGAGGCAGGCACCCGACCTCTAGTGACTAAGACAAGGTCATAGAGCACATGTTACTGTCATGGCTGCCGAAATGGGGAGCTGGTCCCTTCAGTAGTAAGTTCTAGAGTAGACTAGACAAAAAGGAGGGGGCATAGGAACAGAAATGGTGGCACTGTGGAGAAGGCTGCAGCCCTTGGTATCTCTGAGAGCCTGAGAACATTCATGGGTGAAGGATAATTCTGTGCATTTGAGCGGGAGGTGGGCATTGAATGACCCAATGACTAAGTCTATACCTGAGAACCATCCTATATTCAGTCTTGCTGTGCTGGGCCCTGTCTGTCACCAGCCTTATCCCCAGCAGTACAAGTTCAAGCATGTCCCCACCAAGGAAGGTCTCAACATCTCTGTGCCCACCCAGCTCTCAGGACTCTCTGCCCAGTGAGGCAGTGTGCTCATCTCCTTCTCATTATGGTGCCGTCTCTTCTCCCATCAGCAACAGTCAGAGGAACTGGGAACAAAAGTGCCATGGGGGAGGCCTGGGCCCCAGGAGCAACTCGAGCTCCACCAGCCTAGTTTCTATTAGATCAAGCATGGGCCACAGTTGCACCTTGAAGCCACATCCCCAGGAGAAGGGCCGACACCCTCCCCCCTGCACACATAAATGGAGTCCCTAGAATGCCTCCAAGAACCAGACTCATCTGGCCATCTTGACATTACATCCTGGGAAGAGCAGCTGGAACATCCCTCTTCTGTCCAGGCAGGCAGTCCTGATGTTGCGATTACCCCTATAGCCCATATGCCTCCAGGGGTGGCTCAAGACAGTTCAGGCATCTTAGGCCATTGAGCTACCCTGCAGCATTAAAAAAGGTGGTGGTGGGGGGCTCCTAGACCTTGTGAATGAGTAGATGTGATGCCAATGAAGGTATGAGGAGATCTCAACTAGAGGAGCCTGGGTCTGCATTGTGCCACCTGTGCGGGTCCCTGCTTCAGAGCAGGGTCATGTCTTTGTTCTAGCAGGTTGTACCATGGACAAGGCTGTGCTCTGAGTGCTGAGGCCTCTGCTGCCCCCTACTGGTCCTCCTGAGTAGATCACGGGGAACAACCAAACTCCGGCTTGGTGGATGAGGCTGAGCTTGCCGGGCTGCTGCTTCCTGGGCCTGTACAGTCAGGATAGTGGTGCCAGGCTTCCCTGCAGTTGTCACCTTGTGGCTCTGGCCCTTGCACGTCTGGTTGTATTTAAGACAGGCATGCCTTAGGCTGCATGGCAAGGCTGCCTGATACTTCTCCATAGTCATAGCCCAGATATCCTCTGTGTGGTGTTTGGAGTACTAGGCAGTACTTACCTGGTGAGGAGGTCTGGCCATCTTATCCCAAGCCAGCCAGACATGGCATGAAAAACAGTACTTAAGTGTGAATAGGTCATGGGTCTTTTTCTATTTTTTTAATATTTATTTAATTTAGTATATGAGTATCTGTGTGTATACCTTTATGTCAGAAGAGGGCATCAGATCCCACTATAGATGGTGTGAGCCGCCATGTGGTTGCTGGGAATTGAACTCAGGTGTCCTGGAAGAACAACCAGTGCTCTTAATCTGTGAGCCATCTCTCCAGCCGCAGGCCATGGGTCTTAGTGAAGCTCCAGAAGTTTCTGGAAAGGTCTCATGGCCAATAACACGCCTCCTTGTCTGGGACCAAAGCTAGGGTCAGGTGTCAACAATAGGCAGGGGCTTGGGACTGGAACTAGGGTGATCCTGCAGGTCCTAGTAGTTAAGGATAGCCATGGGCCTTTGCACAAGCAACACCTGGACAGGCACTCTAGGCATGGGTCCAGCCTGTGTTAGATTACCACTTGACAGGTTCCTTCAGACTCCACAGCCAAGTCTGTGTGAGCCCCTTCAATCTAATGCCGACCAAGGAGGCTCCATAACCCTTTTCTTTCAGCTCCGGGGTTGTCATTGAAACATTGCCAGGGCTTTGGGTTGTTATGGCTACCTTGCAAGCTCAGGTATGGGGCAGGGTACCCAGGAAAGCTCTAGCCACATTGACCCTAATCCCAGACCCTCACACATCTTCTGTGAGTCCATCCATGATTTTCCACACCCAGTGTTTGCAATGGAACCCTGGAGAGATCTGAGACACGTCTCCTTACCCATCCCACACAGCTTCCATCCAGCCTCCATGCAGTGCCCCACCTCTCCAATGCTCTTAACCCTGAGGCAGGAGATAAGCACAGCAACAGCCAGAGTTTATTTATGTTTCATGTGCTCAATTGACACATTACTTTCCAGATAACCTGGGGAAACATCACCCAAAGTTCAAAGCTGCAAGATAAACACATTAGAAATTGTGGGTCGAAATCAAACAGGAGAGAGACCTGGCTCTACTTCCCCAGAGGCTCTCTGATAAATTGCAGCCTAGTCCCATCTCAGCAGTCTCTCCTGGGACACCTGACACTGTAAATATCAAGGTTTCATCCGTTTCTTGAGAGCCTGTTTTCATTCCTGTGAGTTAGCTTGTGCCAGGCCTTCAGCTCTCTCCCTGGATCTCTCTGTCTCTGTCTCTGCCTGGCTCTCTCTGTCGCTCTCTGACTCTCTTTCCCCATCTGTCTCTGTCTCTGTCTCTGTCTCTCTCTCTCTCTCTCTCTCTCTGTGTGTGTGTGTGTGTGTGTGTGTGTGTGTGTGTGTGTGTCCCTCAGATAGTATCTCATTGTGTAGCTGTGGCTGGTGTGGAACTTGGTATGTAAACTAGGCTGACCTCTGCTTGTCTCTGCCTCCCAAGAGCTGGAAATAAAGGCATGCACCACCACACCTGGCTTTCCCCGGGTCTTAACCTGAGCGTCTCTTCTGTGCTTTTATTTCCTTCCTGTTAGCCCCACCTGGGAGAGAGCAGTTTTTGGCCATTAGAGTTAAGGGAACACTTTTGTTTTCTCTGGGGCTCTCAGTTGCCCGTCTGTACTATGGTCACCCTTGGTATCTGCAGCTGTACATGCACACCAGGGCCCATGCCTGCAGGGAAGGGGCTGTGACCTGTGCACCACCCCCACAGAAGACATCAGCTGCGACTCAATCCCATCTGCCTTTCTAGTTTATTAACCTTTCTTGAAGCCTAGAACAAGGGGTGCTCAGGGCTCTGTATCTCTTCTTGGGAAGGCAGGCAGGAGCTCACAGATCTCTCTCCGTCTGTGCCATGTTGGGAGATCACAGCCCCTCCTGTGACCTTTGATAAGAACAGAGCATACCTTTAATTTCAGAGTTCAAGGCCAGCCTGGTCTACAGAGCGAGTTCTAGGACAGGCTCCAAAGCTACACAGAGAAACCCTGCCTTAAAAAAAAACAAAAAGAATGGATAGAGCTGGCTGAGGGACTCTTTAAAAGACCCGAGAAGGGTAAGGGAATGGGTACCCTAGTGTCTCCACACACCTATGTAGCTCCTTGAACCTCATGTATCTTGCCTCAATCCCCCGACTTTCCTCAGTGTGCCCAAGCCCTCAGCTAAGGCCTGCCTAGCCTTTCACCACCTATGACAAAGTACCCTTTTACCCTTGGGAGGCTAGAAATACTCAAAGTGTGCATGTGTGTGTGTGTGGGGGGGGTTGTCTTGGCAATGCCATGGTCCAGACCAATGAGCCACTCCCATCTCTGTCTTTCAATGAGGCCAATCACAGGGTAGGCTTGGGAGGGATAACTACCGGTGTCTCCTCCTCCCCGTGCTCCAGGGCTCCTGTTAGAGGCCTTCAGCTCAGACAGTCCTGATCTGTGTCTACCTTTCAGACTTCCTGTGCATGTTGATTCACCCACCAGGCCCCAGGCCCAATCCTGTTCGGAAGGGTCCCAGCCCTGCAAGGATTCTTGGCATAGACTAGCCAGCACTGACTACCAGTGTACAAGGCACCACCCTGGGCACCCTTGGTACCTCTGAATTTCACACTGATGCATACTTAGGGAGTGAGACACAGGATCTGGACTTTCGATCATGCTGTGAGTTGCCAGAAGCCGTGAAAGGCTCACTGTGTCCCTGCCGGCCAGAGAAAGTAGCTATGTTCCAGGCTCATGGCCACCTGGGCAGAAGAAATCGCACCGGCACAGCCTCTGGGCCATGTCTTTGCTAGATCCTACAAGAACCCATTGGCACTGAGCATCCGACAGCATACCCGCTCCCTTGTTCTCTGTCTACAGAGCCTGGGTGCCCCTTAAATCCATAGTTCTTTCGCTAAGAGGACTTAATTGAAAAATGTCCAAGCATCAGAACAGCGAAAGTGACTGCAATACCTGAGAGACACTTTAAAGATGGCCAACCAATCTGTGTAGTCTGAGAGCAGCTGGGTAGGGGAGGAAGGGACCCCGGGGCTGAACAGAGATCATGTGTTGGTAGGGAAGGGTGGGCAGAGAGGCGCAAGGAGCTAGATAAGAGCCCTGGCTGCTTTCCTACACTTGCTTACCATCGACCCCACCCAGATTCGGCGTCTGTGGTTCCCGGAGGACAAAGCTGTAGTATACCAATGCCCAACCATAGGCCACTGCCAGTAGGTCCTGGCAGCTTGGGGGACGGGGGCAGGGATCGGGATCCTTTAGAGCCAGAGCAGTCCTGGGGGACTTGGCCTTCCTGACTCCACGTGGGACAGCGTCCTCGCTGGCTTAGAAGTGGCCTGAGTCTGGAGGTGCCTAACATCGGCTCCGCAGTCTGGTTTCCACTCATCCGTCATCTGTCTGGAATCTGAATGGAAAAACCTGCATATGGTGAGGAGAGGTGCCAGGATAGGCTGGACAAGTTCCTGAGGACCTACCCAAAGGTATTTGAGAACCTAGCCCCCAACTATCCCTCCCCTTCTGGCCCTTCTGGTGGCCTGGCAAGAGCAACACCCACCCCCGTCCTACTGTGTGCAAGTTCTGGGCAGGAATAGTGTAAGCCTTCACAAATCAGTGACAGTCATTTGCTCCTGCTGTCCCTGCGGGTCAGGGCTTTCTCATGTCACAGCACTGGCACTATCATCCTCATAGTGCAGGTGGGGGCCTGTGGTTCCCTTTAATTGAGATAATATCCACTTTGCTTGTGGGTGACATTTACCAAAGGACTTCATTCCTGGGAAGATTATGAATGCACGAAACCTCAATGTGTGTGTCTTTCCATTGATAAATGACTTACACAGGTGTAGGAGTGCTCTGAACCATGATATCCACACCTCCTACCTTCTCCAACCTGGAGACGTGGCATTAACCTTGAGCTGAGGCAAGGTGCTCTGAAGCCAAATTCAAGAAATAATAGAGCTGCTTGAAGTCACACCAGCCTTCTGGCTGGCAAATGGGATCACGCTTGGTAAACTATTTATCTACCAAGTTTGCTAGCTGAGGAACTTTTCCCCTCATTCACTCAGTCCATTCATTCATCTACTGGATGCCAGGCCTCCACTGTCCTGCTGGTGGGGTTCACTGCTTGTCAGGATACCCTCACTGCTTCCTGGTTTTGCTCTGGACTGGGATAGCTGAGTAGAGGTTCAGGTATGGGCAGATAGGTCTTCTGCCTGTGGCCCTCTCATAAGGCACATGGCCACAAAGTCGGGCCGGGCCATCTGGATGCTATGCTTCCTGAGGTCTCATGAGTTTCTTGTCCCATATTTGGCAAAGTCTTCTGCTCTCAACATTTAACTTTGCTTTTTACAAAGCACCCCCAGGTTTTCTTTTGGCAAAGTCTTCTGCTCTCAACATTTAACTTTGCTTTTTACAAAGCAACCCCAGGTTAGCCAGTGTCTCAGCAGAACACCCACCAGCATTCTATGAGAAGAAATGTCTTTTTCAGACACACTGGAAATACCTTGGATCAGAGGTGAAGGCTGAGAACAGGAAGGCTCCAGCCTCTCCATGAATGCTCATGACCCAACCACTATAGTAGCAACTTGGCTTTTACTCTAGACAAGCATTGGCCCTGTGGCAGCCCCACTGTTGGTTTCAAATATCATGGTGCACCTGACAATCTGTTGATATCTGTACTGTTGATATAAAGTTTTCTGTCGCACTGGGGTCCCACTGCCCTTGAGCCCCGGAATAAACACACTGATGCTAT